ACAAAAACTAACAAAAGGTTATGTAATTATCGTGCTATTTCCAATTGATCCTACTCGACCAATTATAGCAAATTACAAAGTTAAAGAAGAAGGTCAACTTAAGAATGAATTCTTTAATGTGACGGGATTTTTACAACACCAAGTTAGTTTGTGACTTAGCAAGATGTATGTGTAAAAGATTCAAAGTTGATAAATTATATGAAGACTTTATTTTAATATCAACTTTATTAAAATAAATACAAAGAAATATAAGAAATAGATAAGATATATGATAATAAATAATAAAAGATAAATATATAAAAATAATAAAAGAAATAATATTTATTAAAAGAATAAATCAGAGGATTATTAATTAAATAACTAAAGAACTTGAACTTAAACTAATAAACTTGATCTGGAATTGACTTAAAACCAAAGCTAAAGAGACCTGTATTTATATCCTTTTGGCACCTTTTGTACCGCAGACAAACTATATTATTCTCTACTTTAGATTGGTTCTTAATTAAGTAATACAAATAATATTATCAAAGGTAATTTCATTATCTATCCCCAGGTATCCTACCTGGATATTTCCTAGGTATCGTATCTAGATATATACTTGAATAAATTAACAATGATAATCCTTAAATATAACACTTTTTAATTCATACCACTAATTTACAAAAATTAATTATAATTATAAATAATACAAATAGAGAAGATAAAAACAGATAAAAGATAAAAATAACTATTTAGGGTGTCACAATATCTAATACTTTTAATAATAAACTAAACTATAACAACAATAATTGTTATAATAACAATAGAGGACAAAGCTTTAGAAGTTATAATAATCCACTTAACTGTTACCATTGTGAAAGACTGAACATATGGCTTGGAATTGTTCTATGAGACAGAGAAATCAAAGAAACTAAAAAAATTTGATTATTTCTGTCACTTCGCAATCTACCAATACTGTGTCTCCTTTGACTAATACAACAGCTAATCAAACTACATAACAAGTTTCACAAGGAGACTTAAATAGTAATACTTTTATAACTCAAAAAGAAGAAATCTAGCAGCCTATCTCTACTGTTTGAAAAAATACAGCATTTAAACTAACAGGCATACCTCAGGAGGATGAGAGTGCAAATAATATAAATTTCTTATTTAAAACCGGAGATAGTAATAAAGTAATAAGAGAAGATATTGGATTCACAAGTAAACAAGATATTTCGCAACCTATCGTAAAGAGATTATGTTCTGCAGAAAAGAAAAAGGAAGTATTTGAAGACCCTAAACAAAAGAAAAGAAAGAAAGTCCTTCTGTTCAACAACCATATATGACACAGAATGCTCTACCATATTCCATTGTTTTGATTTACTTGTAACAAGAGCCAATATTACCTTGGAACAATTAATGGCTATGCTACATTATAGAAGTGAAATCCAAAAAGTTTTGATATCAAAATGTACAAGAATTGTAAAGTTGGCTAATTATTCAATGGTAGAAAGGAATATACCCATGATTTGTCAAGCCCAAGTAACTGGATAGAAAGTTGACATAATACTTGACAGTAGTTTGTCTATTAGCATTATTTCGAAGAATTTTATGGAATCTATAAGATAAAGAATTGAGAAAACATCCGGAAGGAAAATAACTGGTATACATGAAGAAAGATGACCTAGTTATATTTAAAATTTACAGGTGAAGTAAGTAAAAACAGAGAAGCTGCACTAATTCCTGTTTGCCAAATGTATTGACAGCTTGAATAAAACATATCTAACGAAGGTCAACCTTCTGAACTTTTTAATAAGCATGTATTAAAATTTCTCATGAATTTTTCTCTTGCTTGAAATAAAATAACCTATGAATTTATAAAATTTATATAGGGAACCAAGGAATAAAGAACTTAAAGGTTTAACTCAAGTACAAGATCCTAATGGCCTAAACTCATCATCATCACTACCACCAGAAAACGCAGGTGATGATAATGAAGCATTTAATAATCCTGTTTGTGGTGCTCAAATGCCATTGATTACTAAATTAATTCCTGGTGGTCCTGAAGGCAATTTTCATGTTATGGATTCTAAATTCCAACAGATGGCTACTGCTCATAATTGTTAATGTGATGCTCAAGTATGTTATTATCACTATTGTTGTTATTGTTATTATAAAAAATTCTCTTTGATTTTTCTAATTTGCCTTCAATTTCTCTTTATAACAGTACAATGCATGCTTTGATAAACTCATTTCTGGAGATCTTAATTTACAAGGTTCAGACTGTAACTCCCAAATCAATGTTTGTAAATCTGGGGCTCCAGTCTTTTCCGCTTAAAATAAATTTTATTGGTTCAAATCTTTGATAGCTTTGCAGTAGTTCAGATTTTAAACAGATAGATAATTATTTTTTGAAATATAGAGTTAGTAATACAAATGGTGATGTTTTATTTTTTTGAATATTTATTTTAAATTAATATAGATCAGATAATTGTTTGAAGTGCAATTAATATGTATAGATTAAATAATTGTTTGAAATGCAATAAATTCGATAGTAAATGTTTCAAGTTGAAGAATTTTCACAAGTAATTTATACTAGTCGACTTCTCGATTTTCAAATCTTCCAAAATCCAAGAATGATGCAAACTTTGAAAAAGAACTAGAACTTGAAGAAATAACTAATTCTTCTTTTGCTTTAAGTATTAGCTAAAGCTCCAAACGGTCCGGTTTTACTGCTAAACCGGAACCGAACCGAAACTTCGGTTTGGATTCAGTTTGAAATCTAATAATAATTATCCAAAACCAAACCGATTGAGAGCTTTAGCATTAACAACTAATTTTATTCTACACTTCTATATTAATTTTTTAATTTTTATTTATTTCATTAAATTTTTATGAATTCGATTAGCTTTAATATCTTCCAAGTAAATTTTGAATAAGTGTATTCTAGGTAAGGGAGGGTTTTATGAAAGAAATATTAAGAAGAAGGATGGTTACATTAGTACATTAGACCAGATTGGTTTATGGGTAGATAGTAAAAATAATAACTTAGATAGCAATATGGGGTAACGGGAAGGAACACTCATTTTATGGGTGAGGGCTCGAGAAATTCCTCCCTTTTGACCCGCTACTCTATCATCAATTTTTTAATTACAACATGTGTTCTCAATTGAAAAATAATAAATGTATAAATAATAAAATCATTAAAGTATATTATATTTTGAGGAGATATAGTGCATTACGTCTTAACCCGACAAAATTTTAGGTCAACTTCTAATATCTTATAGTAAATAATAATAAACATTTTTATTTTTTTTTTATTTTTTTTATCTAATAAATAATATGAATAAATAAAAATAGAAGTAGTTTATTTATTTAAAATCGAATATATTAAAAATTATCCTTTTTGTATATTTATTTTATTTAACTATTTACGGAGATTGTACAATTAATAAGAGGATGATCTAGTTCGTAAAATAAAATTCGTCCGTATTTGACTAGTGTGGGCAAAAATCAATTTATCCAATTGGGTATAAGTTTAACAAAATAACGATTATATATATATATTTTCAACTCCGGAATAACTATACGCGGATCATAGAACAATCCAATTCTCATCACAGATTTTTCTCTTGAGCTGATCACGTATTAATTGCTTCCCAGTCCTTACGTACTGCTCATGTTACTTACCTTGTACTTCTATAGCAATTCCATACTGCGGATAGTAAATATCAAGTTCTAATCCTCGAGGACATTCTGGTGTTTCAAGAAATCTGGTTGGCGAATGCTAGAGGGTGGGCAAGAATTTTTGTTACAACTTCGCGACATAATCTTTCATGTTTATTTAAGCAATTATGGGCACCATGATTTGGCATGCTTTATATCATTAAAACTTGCAATTCATTTATGGCCTTTATTACGCATCTATTACATCAGAACACAGAGATTTATATATTTCTTAGAAAGACACATACCTCCTTTATTGTGAGCAATTTCTTTAGCTTCTATAAGACCGCAAGGAAGGTTGCCTGCACATTGTGCACACAATCTAACTTTATTCTTTATTCTAACAAAAGGTGCAGTCCATTCATGGCCTTTAGCACAACTCCAAAGCATTGGAAATCTGAATTAACGTATTTTGTAGAAAGACATTTACCGCCTCGTGAATTTTTTGAAGAGTATAATGAATATTATTATTTTTTGCTTAGGATTATTTTAATTTTAAGATTCTTGAATTCAAAGAAAAATATAATAATTTATTATGACTGCTACACTTTTGTTCTTTGCAACAATTATTTTATTTAATAAATAAACAAATTTAGCGAAATTTATTATATCTACGAATAGATTTTGAATCAATTTGTGAACTGGAAACTGATTAAATTCTGATATCTCAATGAAGAACAAATGTAGCAAAACAAATACTAAGAAATTAACTAGACAGCTTGCTATCACTTATTATTATTTTTTTTTTTACAACCGAAAAGTGAAAATATAATTCAGGAGCAAACAATGCCATCAACACTTGAAGGTGTTTATAAATTAAAAGAAGTAATAAATTCATTTATAGCAAGCTACCTCTAATAAAAATAGTTATTTTAGTTACAAATAACCACCTGATTATTATATAATTTCAGGTTGCAACACTTGTTAAATAGTAATTGTTCTCTGGTTTTATCCAGTGTACAATCCATTATGATACATATTCTAATGATCGTATAAATCGAAAAATCAAAGCAATTATTGGAATTTATTTATTGTACTAATATCAATAGTCATTGGAAATAAAGATAATAAAGATAATAACAATTTTTATCTAATATATATACCAATGTGGTAACATTATCTTGCAAATAATCCAACGAAGGTTGTTTCTGAAATTTATTTCTTTACAACAATATAATATTCCAGTGAGTTCACATGTTTGTCTGAGACATGATTTAATAAATTCATGTCTTACATCGGTTAAATGAAAAAGAATAGGATGGTTTTATAATAAATAGGATTATTCCAATTTATGGCGAATTTTGCATAAATATAGTTTTCTGATTTATGAATAGGAATTCTGATTTTTGTCTTTTTCACTTTTTCATGAATAGGATATATGATGTCCCCTTTATAATTAGTGACGATGAAATTGGTGGATGCCTATAAATCAGCAAATACTGTACACTTGAAATTTGACAAAAACATATTAAATTCTTTAAGAGAAAAGATGTGTTTTTTATTTTTTTTATTTTGCAAAGGAAGGTAACTCATATGCGTTCTGATTGGGAGGATTTCTGGGTTCGTTCGCTTCTGTACCGTCCTACTGATCGCAAGCAAATTTTTATAAAAACAATTTTTCCGAACTTTCCATGCTCTTGCCTCTCGAAGCTTCTGATTGTTTTAAAGTTAGAAACATTCTAAACTTATAAAGATAGAGGTTAGATCTATTATTATTTTTAAGTGTAATTAAAGCCTATTTATATATCATGCAATAGATTTTGACTGGTGTAGAACACATATTGATTTAGCACAAGTGAGTTTTATTTTTTTTATTGAGAAGATATGATTTAGAAATGATCAATTTTTTAAAATGTCTTCTGGAAATCGACACAGAAGAAGACAAAGAACTACAAGATGCCTCCCTGTTAACAAATCTTACTGATCCAAATCTTTCTCTCTGATATAGAAAACTTAAAATATTATATACAATTCAATTATTGCTAATGCAATTAATCTTCCGATATTTTCAAATTCAATATGTGGATTATACATTCCCTGAAAATTAACTATCATATAAATCCAAAATAATTAGAAATTCGTTCACTTTTTTTAAGAATAAGGTTCATTAATAGAAGTATATTATATTATCTGTTAGAAAGAATCTCTCCCTCAGCAAGACCAAATGTACAATATGCAGATAAATGGGTTAAATAATTATGGGAAAAATTCTGAAATAGTTTTTCATAGAAGAAAAGAAACTTGCTTTGTAATAATTGAATGTAAAATAATATATTACATACCATCTGCCATATTTTGATTATATAATTGTTCACTGTATTGAGCGTGACTTATTCATATGCCTTGATCTTTTTTTGCTCACAAGTATATTGGTATCAAAGTATGCACACTTACCTTGTAAAATGTATCGCATTAAATGTCCCAATAATAATTTTGTCCTAATAAAAAAAGTTAATTGGGACGGATTGGAAGAAAAGATTCTAAATTTGATTTACCTATATTTATTATTATCCGTCCTACCATAATTGGTAAGATCAAAAATCGTCGATCTCTTTTTGACGCTTTGACAACTTTATCAAAATGGCTCATCATATCATATCAAGATATAGTGAATTTAATATAAGTGGAAATAGTAGTAATAGTTCAGGCGAAGGAGGAATATTGACATATTGTTATAAGTGGAAAATCCTCAACTGGAATGACGTTAAACCGTTCACGGAATATGCAAGTCCACCGTTCATTGCGGATGGATTGCAATGGTAAATGGGTTTTAATTGTTTTAATTGATTCTTTTTTTAATTTTTTAATTACTTATTTATTTTTTTAATTATAAATTTATTGGATTCTTTAATTTTTTTGTAACTTGAAATTAATAATTCATTTATTATTATTATTATTTTTTTAATTTGTGAAGGGTTTTTAAGGTAATTAATTAAATAATTTCTAGTAGTAAAAATATTTTAAAAAAAATATATATATATATATATATTAAAAATCTCAAATAATTAAAAATATTAGTTCTACAAAGGGAGGAGAAAGAGTCCACGGGTAAATATTTGACGATTCAATTGATCTTAATGAAATATTTAATCATAAATTATTTAAATATTGATTTCATAGGTTTTATCATTATATTTGGGTATTCTAGAGACATCACCTGGATGTCTTATTGGTATTCGTAAAAAAGTTGCAATTATTTTTGTTTTGGAAAATTTAAAAACCAGAGGAATTGATTATGGAAAATGTGAGTTGTTTTTAATATTATTATATAATTTATATTATATATCTAAATTATATTTAAAATTAAATTAAAATTTATTAAAAATTTAATTATTTATTTATATAGTGGAATTACCAGTTTGGTTTTGTGCTAGTAAGAAATCCTAATTCTATGGATAAAATGACTGATAAATAATTGATAAAAATAATTGATAAGGAATATGAAGAAATTTAATATATATTTAATATAAATAGAACATTCGACTTGGGGTGAAGAAACTCTAATTTCATTGGACGAAATGGATAGGTAATATTTGATTATTAATTATAATTATAATTATAATAATGATGATGTAATAATAATAACAATAATAATATCTCAAAATATCACGTGAATAGATTCATTAGTAATAACACAGTTTCATTATGTGTCAAATTCGAAATTCAAGAATCAATCATTGATGGACCACCAGAAATTCCCAATCCATTTAATAAATTAGTAAATTCATCAAAATTTTCCGATATCAAATTTCAAGTGATCGATGAATATGGTAGAGATAAAATATATTATGGGCATAAAGGAATTTTAGCCAGTTCGTCACCAGTATTTGAAGCGATGTTAACTAATGGAATGAAAGAAACATTTGAAGATAAGATTCAAATTTACCAAGTTAATCATAATGCTTTCTTAACCTTACTTACTTTCATATATACCTTTAAAATTATTATTAAATCATTATGTGAAGCGGAAAATTTATTATCATTGTCTGATAGATTTGATATTGTTCCAGTACGTAAAGAATGTTTAAGATATTTTAGGATGGAAATTAATGTTGATAATGTTTGGGGTATTTGGGCAATTGCTGGTAAATTTTTTATTATATTTGAATTATAATTTTATTATAATCGAATTATATTCGAATTATTGTTTATTATATTAATCAATTATTATTATTAATTAATCAATTATTATAATTATTATATTAATCAATTATTATAATTATGTCAATTATTATAATTATTATATTAATCAATTATTATAATTATTATGTTAATCAATTATTATTACAGAAAAATATTCGTGCACAAAAACTTCAACCACATGTCGAGATTTTGTTGCACTTTATCTTGATATTCTATTAGAAAAAGAATCTACACTTCAAGCTGATCCAAATATTCTTCGTTTAGCATTGGAAAATGATGAAGTTAATGTTCATAATGAAGAAAAAATATATGAACTTGTAGTTAAATGGGTAAATTATAGTAAAGACGATTATGATGATGATGGTGACGATGATTTAAATAATTCTACATCGACATCAAATAATAATAATAGTAGTAATAGTAGTAATAGTAGTAATAATAATAATAATAATGATAATAATAATAGTAAATTACAAAGTAATAATTCTTCAACTACTGGATTTGGACTTTCTACTTCTTCTTCCGCATCAATGCCTTCAGAACTTCCAGAAAATTCAAAAAATTACTCTTTCAATGAAAATAATTTAATTATTAAGAATAATAAATCAATAGTAGATAATAGTAATAATTCAATAGGTGATGATAATATAAATGATGAAGATGATAATAATGAAAAAGTAAAAAGAAATAAAAATGAATATGAAGAAGAAGAAAAAGAAAAAGAAGATAATAATAATCATAATAATAATAAATTTCCTAAACCTTGGAAAGGAGATAGATTAGCAGCTTTACCGACTTTATTAAAATATATTAGATTTCCTATAATGCAAAAACGTTATATTTTTGAAAAAGTTGAAGGAAATCCTATTATTATGGAAGCTGAGGGAATGAAAGATTTGGTGATTATTATTTTATTATTTTTATTATTTTATTATTTTTATTATTTTATTCATATTTATATAATATATTAAAGTGTAGTGTATATTTTGCAGTTTATTTCAATTTATTAAAGTATATTTTTATTATTATCTAAATTCGTTTTTTTTGTGAAAGCTCATTGAAGCTTATCGATTCCATTTAATACCTGATGTAGCAAATAATTATCCCACAAATAGAACTAAACATCGAAGAAAAACGAAAATTGATGAATATGAATGAATGGATGAATTAAATGATTGAATATTAGATTAATTAATTGTTACAAAATATTATCATGTCATGTTAAGGAATTATTTTATTTATAATAATGATTTATAGGGTGATTATTATTATAGGTAGTTTGTTGTGATTTTTTGTTAAAAATTTCTTTCATGTAACATTAACACAAAAATTGTATTGTCTTATTAAGTTTATTATATTTTTAAAATTGCACATCTATGATTGATTTTCTATTGACATTTATTCATTACATTGAACTTGTCATATTATCTTCAAGATTACATTTTCCCAACTACTTTGATCTGCTTTGTTATCATCAGTTTTATAACTAATAATATTATCGTGGTTTTCAAATTAGTGTGATCATTTAAAAATCTTGTTGAAATACCTTATAAGCTGCCCCAGACCATTTTCACCTCAGTTGAATTCTAGAATTTTATTGGCTCATAAGTTAGCAGGTGATCAGCAAAATATCATGTGTACAAAAACTTCATTTTTGATAGATCTATGGTTATTTTTTTGATATATTAGATTTTCATGTAACAAAATTGTTGTCATTTTGATGTATCTATTGTTAGCTCTATTCTTTTATTTTTATTTTTATTTTTATTATATTTATTATTGTTATATATATTATTATCTGTATTACATATATTATTTAGTATCTATTAGTATAATTATTAATGTAAATCAGTTAGAAATTAGTGTAACTATTATGTGTATGACTGTAGATCTTTAGTGTGTAGTCTACAGTATAATCAATAGTGTAATCAATAGTGTAATCAAGAGTGTAATCAAGAGTATAATAGATAGCATAGTAGATAATGTATACTATACTTGCACTTGAAATTATTTTGGAGCTCCAAAATTACAATTTTGGAAAAAAAAGTCAAAATAGTTTTTCACAGAAGACAAAATTGTTTTACTTAAAATCCAAAATTTTTTGACCACCCAGATTTATTTTTTAATTGAATATACATATAACTGGATACTTTTTTTACTTCCATATATAGAATAGATTTTGCATAAATCTCAAAAAGTCAA